ATGTTGCGGGGTCTATCCCAACATCCATCTCAGTATTATAGAGGCTTCATAGACAGTCAGTCAGTTAGTGTTGAGTCTCTCATATGTGTATATATAGTATTCTATTTTTTGAGACTCGAGTTGCCTTTTTGGCAGATTTTATCACTTGGTTGTTTTATAACCTTTTAATTGCATTGAGTTATGCTGTTGAGTTAAGTTTCCGCTGAGTTAAGAAAGCTAAGCCAAGGGTTCGCTTGGGGGCCAGCAATGGTCTTCGAGTGCCGGCCACATCCAAGGTGTAAGCTCGGGGCGTGACAATACTTCTCCCAATATGACGAGGGATATATATACATTTATATAGAGTAGAAGAAAATAAATAAGAAATCCGCTTATTAATTTTCCTAGAAAAATCATAAAATTGATCAGTGGATCCAAATAGATTGGAAAAAAGTCTTTATTAGTATTGTACCATGATGTATTTGTGGTGGAGAGAACAGCTAGGCCTTATCTTGTCCAAACAACAACAAATCAAAAAGGTAAATTAGCTATTTCCCCTCTTTTTTCTATGTAACAATAAACAGCTAGAAAGATAATTTGATGGAGATTTTGTCCAACACAATTATAGCAATAATTTTTGTTGCAATATTGTTGGTATATACATGGAGAGTGTTGAATTGGGCATGGTTTAGGCCAAAAAAATTGGAGAATATCTTAAGGCAAAGAGGTCTAAAAGGAAATCCATATAAGTTACTCTATGGAGATTTGAATGAATTCACAAAATGTATAGTTGAAGCAAAGTCTAAGCCTATCAATTTCTTTGATGATATAGCTCAAAGACTCATCCCTTTTTTCCTCAACTCCATCAACAAAAATGGTATGTTTTAACACTCTAGCTTACAAAATGATCATTTAAACACGTGTAATATTTATGTGTTATGCTAGCGTACGTTGGGTGTCTATAAGACATAGTGGAGACGAGTTGAAGCGTTTAGTTGATAGTTGAGACTAAGTTGAGGTGTCTAGATTTGAACCTCAAAGTTGGAGTGCTTATTTGTCAACTAAAATCAAATTTGAGTGTTTGTTTATGTATTATGCCTTCTTCTTTTTTCTAATCGGAAACGGATTACTGGCAGGTAAAAGTTCTTTTGTGTGGCTAGGCCCATATCCAACAGTGTTGATCACAGATCCTCAACAAGTAAAAGAGATTTTCACAAAGAATTATGTGTATGTAAAGCAGCGTCATGGCAATCCAATGACCAAGTTATTGGCTGACGGTCTATCAACCATTGATGGAGACAAATGGGCCAAACACAGAAAAATCATCAATCCCGTGTTCCATGTTGAGAAGTTAAAGGTTCTACTTTATTACTCCTTCCGTTATATTTTATGTTGTGGTCTTAAACTAAAGATGTGTATTATATACCAAAATATCATTTGAATCTTGTGGTCTAAACATTCCATGTAGGATATTTTATATAGAAAGAAACATTCTTTTTTAAAGAGACTTAGAAGGGAATTATAACAATCACTTGCTGGTTTTTTTATTTACAGCGTATGCTGCCAGCATTTTATGTGAGTTGTAGTGAAATGCTAAGCAAATGGGAGGAAATTGTTCCAAAGGGAACATCATTAGAACTCGATGTATGGCCAGACCTTCAAATAATGGCTAGTGAAGTCATATCTCGTACAGCATTTGGGAGTAGCTATGAAGAAGGAAGAACAGTATTTGAACTTCAGAAAGAACAAGCTGAGTATGTAATCAAAAAAGGATGATCAATTTATATACCAGGATCAAGGTACATCACATTTCCACGTTCAAAACTTTCTTTTGCGCTTGCCAAATATCTCTGTAATTAACTATGAAATTTTTTCTTCTACAAGACTTTTCTTGCCAAATATCTCTGTAGTTTTTGAACTTCAGAAAGAACAAGCTGAGCACGTAACAGACATAAGTCGTTCAATTTATATACCAGGATCAAGGTATAACAATTTATTTGTGAAATTAATATGTTATATGGAAAATCACATGTTCATTACTTTCTACTAAAAAGACTTTTCTTGTTTGCATTTAAATTTGTTTTGTTAGGTTCTTGCCTACTAAATGGAACAAAAGAATGCTGGAAATCGAAAAGCAAGTCCAAACAACGATCAGGCGTATCATCGACAAAATATTGAGGGCAATGGAAGCAGGGGAGCCTAGTAAAGATGACTTATTAGGCATATTACTTGAATCCAATATGAAAGAAATTGAACAACATGGAAGCAAAGATTTCGGAATGACAACAGTTGAAGTGATTGAAGAGTGCAAGTTATTCTATTTTGCTGGACAAGCACTTCAGTGTTGCTCGTCTGGACAATGATTTTGCTGTGCTTACATCCAGAGTGGCAAGTACGTGCCAGAGAGGAGGTGTTGCACGTCTTTGGAAATAATAAACCAGATTTGGAAGGACTAAATCGCTTGAAAATTGTAAGTACTTTTCTTCCAATCTTTTAATTACTACGTTTTGTGTCCTCAATTATGTGTTGAAATTGATTGTAAAAATAGACAGTTGTAAAAATAGACCAAAAGTGCTATAAAAGTTATAAGCAGAAAAATCATAAGCTGGGGCAAATCAACTTATAACTTTTGGTTATTTTTGGGTTAAAAGCACTTTTGGTCAAAGCTTTACCCAAACACTCTCATTCTACTGTCAATTTATGCAATACATTTTTTCCTTAGGTAACGATGATCTTGTACGAGACATTAAGGCTATACCCCCCATTGCCAGTATTTGGTAGAATGAATAAAGAAGAAGTGAAATTAGGGGAGCTAAATCTACCAGCCGAAATGCCACTCATTATACCTGCAATCCTAGTACATTATGATAAGGAGATATGGGGTGAAGACGCGAAGGAATTCAAACCAGAAAGATTCAGTGAAGGAGTGTCAAAGGCAACCAAAGGACAAGTATCGTTTATACCATTTAGCTGGGGACCGCGTGTTTGCATTGGACAAAACTTTGCAATGATTGAAGCAAAAATAGCGATAGCAATGATACTACAAAGGTTCTCCTTTGAAGTATCACCATCATATACACATGCTCCATTTGCAATAGTGACTATTCATCCTCAGTATGGTGCTCCTCTGCTTATGCGCAAACTTTAAGATGATATTTTACGACATTGGTGTTGTACGTTGATCTACATGCATTATTTGAATGATCGATGTACTAAATTGTTGCGAGATCGCAGAAGTCATGCTTCAAATTTAAACATTGACTGCAGTTTGGTTAATGTTATAATCAAATTTTTTTAGTTAATTTTTCATATTTATAAGAAGAAAAAAGAGTACATGAGAGAAACCTTACTTATCACTTGTGGGAGTAGAGATGGTAGCAACAATTTGTGTTGCAATTTAGCTCCTTCTTGAGAAAAAAAAAAGTGAGGTTCTCCATCTTAGCTAGCTAATAGTCTCCTAAAGCTAGTGATGTTGATGAGTTAATGCATTGTGTTGTGATTTAGACTATTCTTGTGGTACCATTTTAATTGGTATTTTTCAAGAAAAGCGTCTAAAGTAAGAAATTCAGTGTTTCACTAAGCTTTCAAATAATGGGCCATATACTACTAAATAGTACTATAACTAGTAAGAAAATAAATGAGAGTCACATACATAGTTCTATAACTACTTGCATATGACTTTCATAAATACTTGCATGTGATATTCATTCATTTTCTTACTAGTTATAGTACTATTTAGTAGTATATGGCCCGTTATTTGAAAGTTTAGTGGAACACTGAATTTCTTACTTTAGACGCTTTTGTTGAAAAAATACGAATTCAAGTGGTACCTCAAGAATAGTCTAACATCACAAGACAATGCCCTAACTCATCAATATCACTAGATTTAGGAGACTATTAGCTAACTAATTAGATGGAGAACCTCACATTTTTCCTCATATACTCTGACATATATAAACTATTCACAAATTTCTTTGGTAAACTTTTCCTCATAAATCAAAAGAATTAATTAGAACATATCTAACTTACATAAAAATATCTTATTACATATTAATTAGAGATAATAAATTTACTGCCTGAAAAAAAATATTATATGGAGAAATTTATTATGAGCTGTTTCACTTATTGCATCATCTTTAGTTACAAAACGTCAGCATCACTCCTTAATTATATCTACACAAGAAAATTCCAAGTTCAACAAAACTAGCTAGGGATTGGAAATATCAGTAATATAGATGAATACAAAGAAAAGATAAACCAAATATTGAGTATGGTAAATTTATATGAAAACAAATGGAGATAATGTGTGAAAGGACGATATCTCTAATTAGGAGCAAATGTCAAAATTTTACCAAATGAAGACAAGTTAACAATTTATTAGAAATAAAATAACTACTATGCGAACCTTTATGTACCTAAGTAAGGCGAACCTTCAACTCATTCAGAAAACATATATGAATCCGTCAAATTAAAGACAATAACTTATAAAACATAAACACAAATAAAAAAGAGGCACAAACACAAAGTGAAAGATACAAATAAACACTTGAATTGTACCTCGATCCGCATGACTTGGATGTATTTCACGCATTTTGCTAGGTAGAATTCAAATTTCATATGTGTGAAAAAAAAAGTGAGGTTCTCCATCTTAGTTAGCTAATAGTCTCCTATAGCTAGTGATGTTGATGAGTTAGTGCATTGTGTTGTGATGTTAGACTATTCTTGTGGTACCACTTCAATTAATATTTTTCAACAAAAGCGTCTGAAATAACAAATTTAGTGTTTCACTAAAATTTTGAATAGCGGTCCATACTACCACATATTACTATAGCTAGTAAGAAAATGAATGAAAGTCACACACATAGTTCTATAACTACTTGCATTTGACTTTCGTTCATTTACTTACTAGTTGTACTACTATATAGTAGTATGTATCGCTATTAGAAATTTTAGTGAAATTATATACTATATAATATGATGTTAATTAAGAGGAAGCAGCTGAGATCGAAAAGCCTTTCATAGAGTTGTCACTTGTTAAAATGGAGATGTTGAGAATCATGATAACAACAATCTGTGTTGCTTTTTTGTTGGTATATACATGGAAAGTGTTGAATTGGGCATGGTTTAAGCCAATGAAACTTGAGAAATACTTAAGAAAGAGTGGTCTTAAGGGAAATCAATACAAATTACTCTATGGAGATTTGAAGGAATTCACAGAAAGTGTCATTGAAGCCAAATCTAAGCCCATCAATTTCTCCGATGATATAGCTCAAAGGCTCATCCCCTTTTACCTTGATTCCATCAACAAAAATGGTATGTTTCTGTGTTTAGAAACGTGAGTTGAGTAATGCGTATCAACTGTTTGGTAAAATTCCCGAATGAATTCAACTGACATCTATGTCGTTCAACTTTGGGTGTGCACAAGGATACACTTAAACTTGTATAAAATTATACAAGAAAGCACACATGTCCTACATGGTATAATACACATAGGACACCATGTACGACACAAAATTGCCATGTAAGATGCCACGTAAGATGAATGTGTCTATTTGCTAATTTTATACAAGTTTAAGTGTCTACTTGTGCACACCCAAAGTTGAAGGATATAGATGTCAGCTGAAGTCAAGTTGAAGGGTACTTTTATGTATTATGCCTTTCTTATTTGCTTTCATTAGTGATTTTGTTCTTGAAATTTCTTTGTGGAAAATGCAATAAATCATACTCCCCTTTGTCCTAAATTATGTGGTGTAGTTTAACTGGATACAAAATTTAAGAAATATTGAACATCTTTTGTGGGTTTTTTTGCCAAATAAGTGAGATCCAACGTGGATAAAATGTTGATAGAGACATTAAATATTTCTCAAATAATGAAATGTATCATTTTTTTTTTGGGACTGATTAAATAGGAAAGTGTGCCACATAAATTGAGGTAGATGAAGTAGCAAAAACTCAAGATTTTAGATTTTACTAACCAAAAATTAAAGTGATTACTCGCAGGTAAAAATTCTTTTATGCGGCTAGGCCCATATCCAGTAGTGTTGATCACAGACCCTGAACATGTAAAAGAGATTTTCACAAAGAATTATGTGTATCTAAAGCAAAATCATCCCAATCCAATGACCAAGTTATTGGCTCAGGGTCTAGCAAATATTGAGGGAGACAAATGGGCCAAACACAGAAAAATTATCAATCCCGCCTTCCACGTAGAGAAGTTGAAGGTTCTACTTATTACTCTTGTTGTTGATGTTCTTTTCTCCATTATTTTCAACGTTCTTTCTTCACTATTATATTTCCTTTTCGAACTTGTTTTGAATTGTTATACTTGAACTGAGGGTCTTTCGAAAATAACCTCTCTACCTTCACAAGGTAGGGGTAAGTTTCTGTGTATACACCATTGTTGGTGTTTTTTAAAAATGGGGCAGCACAAAAGGATTGAAAATGTCTCTCAATGGATTGAAATGACTTTCAATAGTTTTCAATAATTTTATTAAGCATTGAGGGGATTTAAATAGCCAACATAAAACACATAATCTGCATAATTTAAAATTTAAACAACCTAAAATATCTCAACAACATAAACAAACTAACTAAAATTCAAAATGTCAAATTTATTCAAACTAAATAACTTATTTTGCTAAAAGTTACTGCAGTAACTAAAAGCAAACTTCAACACTCCTCCTTTGCTTTAGTTATTGCAATTGAAAAAAATGCTCCTCCTCAATTTTTGCTTTGGTAGTTGATGCTGGGTTTTTTTCATTGTTTTTGAACTTGCAAAATTTCTTCTTTTTTCTTTTTCTTCTTTTGATTTTTGTTCTTCAAAAACACATGCGATGACATTGTCTTGTGTAGAAGTTTTTTTGAAAGTGCTTTAATCTGAACTTTTGTATGATTTGCAGAGAGAAGTTGTAAGGGTTTTTCTTCCATCAGAACCTCACATATCACATATGTTTCAAAATATGGTTTTATTCTCATAGACCAAATTTGATAGGTTTTGTCTGTGAAAATTTATGGGGCATTCAAAGAGAGACTTTTGCTTGCCATTATTTTGGTTAAAAAATGATTTAGAAAAGCCTGTGCATTGAAAAAAGCACTGGTTGAAAAGGTAGCCTTGATGGGTTAAAATGGGTAGCCCTGATGGGTTAAAAAGGTTACCCTTACGGGTTAAAAATGTATGGTAGTTCTTTGAAAGATTTCACAGATCCCTTAAGATCAATGAAGCTCTGATACCACTGTTGGTGTTTTTTAAAAATGGGGTAGCACAAAAAGATATCTCCATAATTTAAAATTTAAACAACCTAAAATATCTAACAACATAAACAAACTAACTAAAATTCAAAATTCAAATTTATTCAAACTAAATAACTTATTTTGCTAAAAGTTACTACAATAACTAAAAGCAAACTTCAACAACCATCATGCCCATATTCTACTTGTGGGATTATAGTGGATGTGTTATTGTTGTTGTAGTTTGATTGGGCCGAGACGAAATTTATGAAAATGAGGGAGACTTGTAGGCTTAAACTAAATATGTGTATATTGTACCATAATATGCTTTGAATCTTGTAGTCTGAAACCTGCCATGTGGGATATCATAATTGAAGAATTACTAAATATAGAAAGTAGCATTCTTTTTTAAACTGACTTAGAACGGAAGTAAGAAAACTAATTGAATAATAGGGAGAACCAAATTTAGAATTTAGAAAACCTGGTAAATTTCCCTGTGCTACTTAGTATTGCTTATTGAGATGCCTTAAACATTAAGAAGTTATCCATTTATAGTTGTTGGTTTTTTCATTTGTTTACAGCATATGCTGCCAGCATTTTATGTGAGTTGTAGAGAAATGCTAAGCAAATGGGAGGAAATTGTTCCAAAGGGAACATCATTCGAACTCGATGTATGGCCAGACCTTCAAATAATGTCCAGTGAAGTCATATCTCGTACATCATTTGGGAGTAGCTATGAAGAAGGAAGAACAATATTTGAACTTCAGAACGAACAAGCTGAGTATGTAATCAGAATAGCACGTTCAATTCATATACCAGGATCAAGGTACAACAATTTATGTACATCACATTTCCATGTTCGATACTTTCTTTTGTGCTTGCAAAATCTCTCTGTAATTAAATATAAAAAATCTGATCCTTAACAATTTTTCTACTAGAAGACTTTCCCTGTAATTCGAATAACTTTGTTTATATAGGTTCTTGCCTACTAAAATGAACAGAAGAATGCTGAAAATCGAAAAGGAAATTCAAACGACAATTAGGCGTATCATTGACAAAAGATTGAGAGCGATCGAAGGAGGGGAGACTAGTAAAGATGACTTATTGGGCATATTACTTGAATCCAATATGAAAGAAATTGAACTTCATTGTAGAAAAGATTTTGGAATGACTATATCAGACGTGGTAGACGAGTGCAAATTATTCTATTTTGCTGGACAAGAGACCACTTCAGTGTTACTCGTATGGACAATGATTTTGCTCTGTTTACATCCAGGGTGGCAAGTACGTGCCAGAGAGGAGGTGTTACATGTCTTTGGAAAGAATAAACCAGATTTGGAAGGACTAAATCGCTTGAAAATTGTAAGTACTTTTCGCAAGTTCTTTTCTTCCAATCTTTTAATGAGTACATTTTATGTCCTCAATATAGTTATTCGATAGGACTGTCGAGACAAGAAGTGGACTTGGAGCCCGATTGGCTTAACTATTTGAGATTAGTTAATAAACATTCAGTGTTGAAACCCATTTTTATGTGTTGAAATTGATTGTACAAATAGACAGTTGCATGTTCGGATAGAAGCAGAAACAATTAAGATGTTTGGTAAAAACAATGACCATAAGCATTTGTGTTAATATAAATGAAAAAGTATATTTACAAGGAGAAGGATGAAGGCGAGAAATGAAATGGAGACGGAGTTAGTCGTGTTGTTTTGAGAAGACATTCACTGGATTTTGAACTATAGTAGTGATAAAATAGTACTTAAAAATTTTGGTCAGACCAAAAGTGCGTTGAAAGTTATAAGCAGAAAAATCTTAAGTTGAGGCTAATCAACTTACAGTGTTTTTTTAGGTAACGATGATCTTGTACGAGACATTAAGGCTATTCCCTCCATTGCCATCATCTGGTAGAAGGACTGAAGAGGAAGTGAAATTGGGGGAGCTAAATCTACCAGCAGGAGTGCAACTCATTATACCCACAATCCTATTACATTATGATAAGGAGGTATGGGGTGAAGACGCGAAGGAATTCAAACCAGAGAGATTCAGTGAAGGAGTGTCAAAGGCAATGAAAGGACAAGTCTCGTTTATCCCATTTAGCTGGGGACCGCGTGTTTGCATCGGACAAAACTTTGCAATGATGGAAGCAAAAATGGCGATAGCAATGATACTACAAAAGTTCTCCTTTGAACTCTCACCATCATATACACATGCTCCATTTGCAATAGTGACTATTCATCCTCAGTATGGCGCTCCTCTGCTTATGCGCAAGCTTTAAGATGATATTTTATGACATTGGTGTTGTACGTTGATCTACATGCATCATTTGAATGATCGATATACTAAATTGTTGCGAGATCGTGGAAGTCATGTTTCGAATTCAAACATTAACTGCAGTTTGGTTAATGTAATCAAAGTTTTTTAGCTTTTGATATGGTTTGTGCTCCATCTCAAATCTCCTATTTTCCTTGTATGTTTTAACATTTTGGTGGAGGACAATAGTTCCTTTAATTGTACTTTTTTTTCTTCAATTGGGTTGATTTTTATTTATTTATTTCCTTAGCAATCGAGTTTATGTTTAGTGGGACATAAGTTCTCTTAGGGTGCAGAGAATAACTTGTGAGATATGTAGTCATGATTCCAAATCAGCATTTGGAGATGCAATTTGGGATCATGATTTGAAATCAAATCCCAAATTCTTCAAAAAGTATGATTTGGGATTCCAAATAGTGCTTTCAATTTATTTTTAAAAAAATGTAAAGCTGGACCCATGAGTTTATATTTTGCAAAAGAAACAAGACCAACCATTTTAAATTATTCAAAAAAAAAAAACTCATGCTCGGTGTGAAGAGATTGTTCATGTCATGTGAAGGGATAATATTAAAGAATAACTAGGCACTACTATTATTGACTAGTGAATCTTTCTAAAATTATGTGTATTTGCAATTTATAATTACAAACATTTATTTATTAAAAGAATATGGAGATATGTGATTATTAATATTACACCTTAGGATATTCCGATATCTTATTTATGAACTTTGGTTTGCTCGTTTGGTAAGATTGTATAAGAATTGATGAAAGTCCGATAGTTTTCACAACTTATTGAATTTTCATGTTTACGAGGGAAAAAAAATACAAGGTAAGAAATTCATAATCATGGAAAAGTCTTGCCCCTCGTTCACGCACTAGTCTATATTTGTCAATCAATCATCCTATAAAAGTCCACAAATTTGACCAATTGGGACAAACACCTTTATTAGTTGTGGAAAATTCAACAAATTTATAATATACCCCATCTTGTCGTTGATATAATAGAAAGGCATAATAAATATAAACTATCTTTAACTTGGTCTCAAGATAGTGAATCACTTTAATTTTGAAAATGCATAACTAGATATCACAAGTCGTCCACATTGTGTCTCATGGACACCCCCGACAATAATGTAACACATAAATTTTAGAAGTGTCTATATGATCATTTTTTTGTATGTTAATTCAAGTGTTCAACTGACACAGTAAGATGAATTGAGATGTCTGGATATGCTTAATTTATTTTTCATATATATAAGAGAAAAGAGTACTTGAGAGAAGCCTTTTTAAATAGGCATAATACATAAATTGGACCCTAAACTTGGCTTGGAATTTTAAGTATGACCTCTAACTTTCAAAGTGCACAAGTAGGCACTTCAACTATCCAATTCTTAAACAAAAAAACACGCGAATCCAACCCTGGCATATCGTGTGGTTGAGACGCAATTCAGGCGCGTCAAGGGTATTTTTCGAGGCCCACAACAGTAAAAAAATAAAATGAAAATGACAATTTTACCCTTAATGAATCCCTTTTAAATATATCTTTATTTTTTCAAATCAAAAATCCCATTTTTCTTCTTCTTCTTCCTAATTCTAGTACTCATGCTTTTTTTCTCTTTTTGTGCACAATTTCTGGTCGTTTGTTATGTAATGGCTTCTACTTTTTTTTGTCATTGTGTAAAAAGAGCTATAATGAAGATTTCTTGGTCTGCAAATAATTCAGGTATAAAAAAAAAGTGAATTTACATTCATGGTGACAGCTTCTACCAAAAATAAACTTTCAAAAAGCAAAAATTAACCATAACCAGACTAAAATTGAGGAAGAACAACACATAAACATCCAAAAGATAAGAACTTTGACCACAAATCTTCACAATTTTACTTTGATTTGCAAAGAAATTAGGGCTAGGGCTCTGCTGATGTTTGAGTGAAAATCGAGCAAATTGGGAAAAGAAAATATGACCCTACCCTTTTGTATTTTAATTTCTTCTTTTTTTTAATTATAAAATACGTGTAATTTTTTAATTACGTGGCAGCCACTGAGTGGCTCAATAAGCCACGTAGCAGCGTTTGTATATCACACAATTTGGCTGTTGGATTCGCCTATTTTTTTGTTTAAGAATTGGATAGTTTAAAGTGCCTACTTGTGCACTATGAAAGTTAGAGGTCATACTTAAAATTTGAAGCCAAGTTTAGGGGTCCACTTTATGTATTATGCCTTTTAAATATGGAGTACTTATCACTTGTGGGAGTAGAGATGATAGCAACAACTTGTGTTGCAATTTTGTTAGTAATTACACATGGAAAGTGTTGAATTGGGCATGGTTTAGGCCAAAAAAACTTGAGAAATACTTAAGAAAGAGTGGTCTTAAGGGAAATCCATACAAATTACTGTATGGAGATTTGAAAGAGCTTTACAAATAAACTCAATGAAGCCAAATCTATGCCCATCAATTTCTTTGATGATGTACCTCAAAGGATCATCCCTTTTTTCTGTGACTCCATCAACAAAAAATGGCAAGTACAAGAATCTAACAAGTTTTCTTAATCATATTCTTTTCATGGACCAATCGCATAATTTTTGTTTATATATATACGACTTGAATCCATGGTCTTTGCCTGATCCTATATCATGTTTAAATGTGTGACCATCTCATTTAAAACGTGGAGGTAGTCCACTAACGGCCATTTCTGGCTCGAATAATGTAATTTTGGGAGGAGTTCCATACTTTGTCTCTAGAATGTGTGATGCTAGGTTGGGGTCTGGTGAACCAACTGGTCGCTCCTCTAGTTGAAGTATCGTGGCATAGTATAATTGAGTTTATGAATTCTGGATTCTTGAAAAAGCAGCTTATTGAGTTCTTGATGAATTATATATCTCTACGTATTAAATAGATTTTTAAACACAAATATAGAGTTTGAACTAAAACTAGTACTAGTTTTGTTGAACCCGTAGGCGATATATCACTTACAATCTATTTTTGTCACGCCCCGAGCTTACACCCTGGACGTAGCCGGCACTTGAAGACCATTGTTGGCCCCAAGCGAACCCTTGGCCTGACTTTCTTAACTCAGCGGAAACCTAACTCAACAGAATAACTCCATGCAATGCAAGGACATAAAATAACTTAACTGATAAAATCTGGCCTAAAAGGCAACTCGAGTCCCAAAATATAATATTTACATATACACATAGATGAGAGACTTAAAACTAACTAACTGACTGACTGTCTATGAAGCCTCTATAACACTGAGATGGATGTTGGGACAGACCCGCAACATCCTAATAAAACAAAACTAAGAGAACAAAATAACCGAGTCCTCCGGAATGAAAAAGGCTCACCACTGACTCTGGAGTGCTCAGCTGGATCAACGGCGTGCTGGATGCTGATCCTGGGTACCTGTGTCTGCATCGTCATAAGATGCAGGCCAACTGGCATCAGTACATTGAATGTATGAGTATGCGAGCTGGAAACTAAGCAACAACTTAAGCTTGAAAGGAGTACAAGTGAACACTTACCTTAGCTCTGTTCGACTCATGAATAACTGAACTCAAATGTAAAGCAATAAGACACATGCAATACATAAAAGCTTGTAAAACATATAAACAACTTAGTTCGTTAAGGATAAAACGATAACAAACTCAACTTTACTTATATAAAAGTAATATAACTTTAGTGGGAGATTCTTTAACCGACAACCACCACTATGAGCCTAGTGATGATACAACGTTTTACCTCACGTTGCCCAAGGACCATCCTATACCTTGCCGTGATATAGGACCTTACTTAACTAGTGGATCCACTAGCTTAATCTTACGTGATCATCTAAAAAGAATGACCCGTTAATTCCCATGTTTGGCTACATGGTTCTTATGGAGAGTTGAGTTAATATGAACTCGCGTCCCCAATTCGGTGCTCAATACTACTCCCAAAATACTTTAGCTCATAAGTGTTTTAAACACATCTTTCTTTAGTTTGAGATAATTGCTCAAAATCTAGCCCAAAGGCTCACTTGGAATCGATGTTCCTTTTCTTGAAAACTAGCCCAAAGGCTCTTTTGGAATCATAGTTCCTCTCTTACTCAAATGTGAAAACATTTATAAACTTCTTTGGGAATACTTAGTTCCCTAATACTTTTGAGAAATGAACTCAACTCTATACTCTTGGCTTAACTTGAAACTCTATACTTTTTACTCAACTTGAAACTTGAGCCTTAAAATGAAGTTAAAACGTTCAACAAAGACTCTTGAAAACTTTGAAGACTTGCTTTGACTTACTTCTTAACTTCTAGACTTGACTCTAACTTCACTTGACTTTGATCCGAACTTTCCTCGAATTGGATTATGAATTCAAGGGTAATAATCTCATGTTTATGGATGAGTTCGGGATGTCTAGATGTACCTTAGAGTGTTGAAAACAACTATAAAACATAGGTACATCACCAAGGAACATGTAAGAAAAAGTGGGGAATGAATGGGAAGACTTGGTGTCCTTGGCGCTCTGAGAGGCGCGGGGCGCCAGCCTTCAGACTTCAGAGGGGCCTGCTGGGCTCTGAGAGGCGTGCCGCCCAAGGGCTGGGCTTTAGAGCCCCTTTTGGGGCGCGCTGGCTGGCGCGACGCCCCAGCCCTTTCCCCAAAAATCCGACTTTTCTCCTTCATTTTTCCAACTCTAAACCACCTTAACTTCAAAGGTTCCAGCCCCAAACACTTAGAATCATAAACCCCTCAACATATAATAGATTTCAACTCACAAACACAACCGGAAACATGTCCCAAATTAACAAGAAACTTCAACAACAAAACCACAACTTCAACAACACATCCAACAACTTCAACAAACACAACCAAATCTTTTCTCGGAAATTAAAACGAGTTTGGCGTGTGGGGGAAAGAACCAACCCAACACTATGATCTCACATACCTTACTAGGGATCACCCCGACGAAATCCACGACGATCTCTATG